CCTTAACAGCAACCCAGAATATGTGCAGTGCTGATACCAGGATAGCAATAATTGCAAAAGCTGATCCCGAAGAGGCGGATGCTGGAGGGTTGAGGCTGCAGGGTCTACCGGATCATTTCATAGAGGCCGTACGCTATCTAGCGTCATTGGACCCTAAACCGTGTATCTGTGACAAAAATCTGTGGTCTGCAGGTAGTGGACTCCGAAATTGCATGTGTTTACCTTGTATGGGATGTACACTGGCAATGATTGGGAGAAAATGGAATCTACGTTAGGTGGCCGGGGCCCTGGCCGGGCAGGTGGTATCCCGAGCCCTGAAACCTGAAAGCTTCATCTTTAATTTTGTGGCCACACCCCACACCCCAAACGCTAATCCTAGATATCCCATTTGCCCTCCCAGACATGGCTGTAGCAATTCTGAAGCCAGGAGCCCCAATCAGACTTTCCCATCATCTCCCTACCCTGCTTCAAGCCAACGCCTATAACCATAAACGCTACGCAAAGGTATGACACAACGGTGGTGGGCTTGTCTCCTGTGCTACTTTTCGCCCCTGTCTTGAAAGAAGTGCACCGGAAACGAAGTGCCTAGCTCTAAGCAACAGTTCAGCATTTAGGGTTGAGGGCTTGCCTTTCCTTCCGTGGGTAGAAGAGGGATGGCCGTAGTTTGGTGACCTGGGTACGTAACCGGGAGGTCCCGGCAGGCGGAATATAAGGTGACCTACGAGGGCTCATGTCTCTGCAGTCTGTTGAGCAAGCGGCCTGGGCTTAGCATTGGTGGCTTCGCATGTTTGCTGGGGCACGGGATGTGATGGGATTTGTCACGCGTTGCTCTCCAAACGTTGCTCGCGAATGTGACGCTTACGTAACGCTAGGGGACCAGCTAGAAGCAACCAATGCTGGAGCATTTTCCCTTGAAGACGTACACAACCTCCGTTAAGGCTCTGGAACTTCCAAACTTTGCAACATGTAAGCACTTGATTTTGAAGACCAGGATTTCCATTACCTGTAATTACCTGTCGTCGTCCGCAGGTAGATAGGACCTAGCAGACTGAAATGCCAACCGAGAAGGCTGAAATGCCAACCGTGTTTTGGCTGTAGCGGCTTGGAGATTCAGTTCAAAGCAAGCCTTACAAGGGCAGATGTGTGCACGGGGATGTCCCCGATTGGGGAAGTACGGGTCCATGCGTTGAAGTCCCTCTTTGAAACGCACCCCGAGAATAGTTGCCTTCGTTTGGCACCCGGCAGCGCTGTTGAACTGGGACCTGCGCGCTACAATCCACAGCGTCGGTACAATCCACAGTATGATGGCGTGGTAGCAGCAGGTACAGTATTTAGGGGCGGCGGTGATCGTAAGGAAAACAGACATTCCATCAGATGCTGCAGCAAGGCTTGAAGACATCCGCAGAGGGCCTCACGTCAAGGGGACCTATAACGTACTAAGGCCTAAGCCCTCCCAAAAGCCTTGCCGGGGCCAGTGAAGGTTCCTCTAGGTTCTGAAACCACGGCCCGCCCATATTGGTGTACCTTGACGGCTTCCTTAAAAGGTGTTTTACTCTGTGGGGAACCTAGCAATGATGTGCGCAAAAGGCAGTCAAACCTGCTAATAGCCTCCAGGTGGTCCGGGAAGCTGCTGTGAGAAACACATGGAACCCCTCCCCCTAAAGTAAGCCCACCCACCCCCACCTAACACAACGCATTCTACTACGGGCGAAGCATCTTTTTCTAGGAAGGTCCGGGTAGATGCGTAAAAATCCGTCTCATTCGGAACCGCGCAGGATTTATCCTGCTGAGCCCACGGTACAAAAAACCTTGGGACTCATTCTTGACAGTTCGTCAGTAGTTAAGCATGAGTTACACGTGGGGAAAGGTATAGATATACACAGCTGAATTTTGGAAACTCGAAGCCTTTATTCTAACCACCCATGAACCTTTAAGTACCCTGGTCCCTACAGTAGACCTAAAACCAAAGACCTCAAGCTCTAAACGGAACATGGCTGAGGCGTTGTCTTCGAACTGGAGAGGGCGCACGTTAAAGTGGATGTGAAGGTGGCGGATGCACTGCAGTCCCTGCGAGGCGCACAGTTGCGGGTTTAGGGTTTAGGGCGCAGGCTCTGCGGTTCGGGATTGAGGTTCAGGGTTTAGGGTTAAGGATTCAGGGTTCAAGGTTTAGGCTTCCAGGTAAGTAATGTGAGGGTTTCTTGAAGTAGGGGTAAAATCAGGGACCTGAGGGACATATAAAGCTTGCGAGAAGAATATAGGGTTTAAGGTAAAGTAGGAGTCCCTCTCAGGATGACGAAGGGGTCGTTTTGAGAACATCCCATGTGAGGTAGGGCTTGTAAGTGTATATGGGGTTCATTAGAATATGCTGTAGGTGTAAACACCAGCTCCACCAAACGTCACAAAGCACACTCTCGATTGCTGAGGCCATGTAGGGATTACAAGAGACATGGAGAATTCAGATACAATCTTGTTGGGGTTGCTGGTTTACAGTTCAGTATCCAGGTTCATGGTCAAGGCTTAGAGCTTCTTTTTTGTGATGCGGCTTGGGACGAAGTCCTCAAATAAGAGTACCGTATATAGGGGTTTTATTGGGATAAGGGGAAAGAAAATGGAACGACTATGATGGGTTTAGGGTTTACGGTCTATGAAGTTCATGTTTGGGCACTAGGTGTCACATAGGGGTGTTCTGCACTTCCCGACGCTTCCGGCACGCAAGCCAGCTTAGGAATTGCATCCGGCCCCAATCCCTTCTTGCGCTGAGGATGGGGAGTTGGGGGCTTAATGTAGACCCATGATTAATAAACCTCCCCTCCTTTTAAGGCCCAAATATTAGGATTCCTATTTTGATCCCTATTAAGGGGAGGGGGTTTATTAATCATGGGTCTGGGTTAGGGGTTATGGTTCGGAGACTGGAGTTGAAGACTTTTCGGACTGGGGTTTAGGGCTTACTTAGACCCTGCAATGTAGTACCTTTTTGGTGGTCCTAATAAGAGTCCTGACCAAAAAACCATACCAAACCCAAAAAGGAACTACTTTGGAGGGTCTAGGTACCTATGCTGTGTCAGTTCGGGGCTGCGTTCTCAAGTGCGCGCACACACACAATTCCCAAACCCTGCCTTCTGAATCCCTAGACTCCAGATTCCGCGTGCATTCGGACCTTGTAGGGTTTGGGGTCGAGGAGCGTGTTTGAGGCTCGGGTTTTCGAATTCATGTTTATAGCGAAACGAGGTTTCCCTTAACCTCCTTCAATCCTTGCTAAAGCAGATGTGATCCCGCAACAGTGACCACATAACAGTCCCAGTAGCCTGCCCCGACCCATTGTCACTTACTTAGTTTGGCCCTGAATTACCATCAGCCCCAGAATCCTAAAACCCTGAATCCTAAACCTCAAGCTTCTTAAACCCTAGGCACCGAACCCTTAACCCTAAGCCCTACCCAAGCCCCCAAACCCTACACCCAAAGCCTTAAATCCTGAATCCTAAACCCT